GCGAGTTCAGTGAGCACTGGGGGGATGCAGGGGTGAGCTCAGTGAGTGTTGGGGGTACATATGGTGCAGAGAGGAGTTCAGTGAGTGTTGGGGGAACATAGGGTGCAGGGGCGAGTTCAGTGTGCACCTGGGAAGGGGGCTCTGGAAGGAAGCAGAGCAAGCCTTTGTTGCAATCCCTTTCGCCCTGCTGCTTCCTTCCCAGTGCCAGCCAGCCGCAGCGAGTACCACCGCATCCAGCACCAGTTGGAGTCAGAGAAGTTCCCTTCCCTGTTCCCAGAGGGGCCCACCCGGGCATTCCACGAACTGTCCCGGGAGGAGCAGGCCAAGTATGAGAAGCGGAGGCTGGCAGGTGAGACTCGTGGCCTTCCATGCACCACATAGCCCCTGGGTGAGGCCTTCCATGTGTCATGTGTCCCTCAGATGTGGCCTTCCACGTGCTGCGTGACCCCTGGTCATGGCCTTCCACGTGCTGCACGGCCCCCAGACGTCTTCCACGAGCTGTGTGTCCCTGGATGCTGTGTCTCTGCTGGGCTGTGGGGCTTCACAGCTGAGGTCGGCAAAGGCTTAGTGCTCCTGTGGCTGAATCCTAGAAGGGGGCGATGTCGCAGGTGGTTCTCACACCTTCTCCATGGTCTCATTGTGTTCCAGATTATTGTCGGAAGGCGTACAAGAAGCTCCATGTCACCCGAGTGGAGCAGCGCCTCACCACAATCTGCCAGCGGGAGAACTCCTTCTATGTGGACACAGTTCGCGCCTTCCGGGACCGGCGCTATGAGTTCAAAGGGCTGCACAAGGTCAGGCTCAAGACACTACAGGGTGGACCGGGGAGGTCAGAGCAGAGCTTAGTTCTGAAACAAGAGACCTTACTTGGATCTGTCTGGACCCTCTTGGCCCCCTCACTGGGGTGCGCTGGTCTGGGCTCTCAGACTGGCCGCACACACGGGCAATAAAGACACTGGACTTCTTTTGTTTCTTTAGCTTTGAAGAATTAAGGGCAGAAAGGAACAGGCCACAGTCTATCCGACCTGAGGCCTGTGAAGTGTTTTGAATGATTATTTTTGAAGTAACTGTTTAGAGCGGGGTTAGGAAGTGACAGCTGGGCCATCCATCGGTTTTGTAAATAAAGTTTTATTGGAACGTAACACGATGTTGTCTGTGGCTGCATCTGCACTACAGCAGTGTGGTTGAGCAGCTGCCATAGAGACTGTTAATCCACATGCCTGAGACACTGACTATTGGCCCTTTAAGAAAAGGTTTGCCGACCTTTGATTTTAGGGAAAAAGGCTATTTGGTCTTTACTATACTATTTTTCAAGTTTTCTGTAGATCTGAAACTTGTCAAAATATTAAAAAGTTGGGCCGTTTGTTATGGTGACTGTGACATGGGAAAATGTGTTGGCCAGTCAGCCTCTGTGTGGCCTTCAGGTGTGGAAGAAAAAGCTGTCTGCAGCAGTTGAGATGGGTGACGCGGCCGAGGTGAAGCGTTGCAAGAACATGGAGATCCTGTACGACTCCCTGCAGCTGGCCCACAAGTGCATCCTCAACTCCTTCTACGGCTACGTCATGCGCAAGGGGTGTGTGCAGGCAGAGGCCCCCTCCCAGCCTCTGGAGCCGGGCATGTGGGGGGACATGACGAGCACAAATGGAGTAAACGTACGAGGAAGTGACTGAGGGTTGGGTCAGAGCATGAGGAGGGGAGGGGTGAGAGACTGAAACTTGGCAGTGCTGTTTACTGAATTTGGGGTGTTGGAGAAAGCAGTTTGGGGTGAGGCAGGGGCGAGAGGGTGAGGAGAGCAGAAACCAAGCCAACTTTGGGGTTCCTGGGCACGTCATTGCTCATACATAGGCTGGGGATGGCAGTGTGGTTGTTGTGACTCTGCGTGTCCTCACTCGGGAGCATGGAGGGGCTGGGTGGATGCATGGAGCACTGGAGCGTGTGGGGGGAGGTGGAAGTCAGGAAAACCGGGGTTAGGAGGTGGGGGGTGAAAGCCAAGGTGAGGAAGTTCCTGGAGGGAGACAGATGAGATCAGGTGTGAATGGTGTCACTGGATGTAACAGCCAGGCGGTCACTCGTGACCTTGGAGAGCAGGTTTGCTGGCACAAAGGCGAGGCCTGGCCAGGTGGTCTGGGGACAGGGGGCTGTGTGGAGGAAGACAGGATGGCTAGGCAGGGATTGTTTGTTTACTTGTTGTTTTAATGACTGCGACTAGACCATGCTCAGTGCTCGGGGGGCAGAGTTTGCAAGGGAGAGGCAGGAGATGGCAGAGAGCAGCATCCTGGGGAGCAGGGGGCCAGGGTCCAGTGGAGGGGGGGATATAGTCAGGAAGGATGGGCTCTGTTTTCTCTGAAAGTAGGACATGAGAATGGGCTGAGAGGTTGACAAGGACAGAGCAGGACAAGACAGTACTGGGAGAACAGGACCCTCACTTGGAGGTGTGGACGTTTGGGTGGCTGTGGGGGCCTACAGAGAGGAAGGCCACATGCTGTTGGGCAGCACCCCACCTCCTTCAGGACCTCGACCGTGCCACACCCTGGGGGAGGGGAATGAAGGGTGTCCTGGGGGCAGAGCCAGGTTCCTTGTCAGCTGTCCTGTCCTGCTTCACAGGTAACTTGGCTGCTTTCGTTGACCCCTCTAAGGACCCTTCTTCCCATACCTCTAACATTTCCTGGAGGGAAGCCGGTCACCTGCCTCCCTGCCTGCCCCTGAGCTGTGCTGTCCTCCCCCTGCTCTCAGGGCGCGCTGGTACTCCATGGAGATGGCCGGCATCGTGTGCTTCACAGGAGCCAACATCATTACCCAGGCCCGGGAGCTCATTGAGCAGATTGGGTGAGTGCCGTGGGGTCGGGCTGGGAAGGAGCCAAGGCCGCAAGCTCTCCGGTTGGTGGAGATATTTGTAGTGTTCATGGCTTGTCACAGCTCAGATGCGGCCTGCTTTTGGAGGCGGAGGCTGCAGCCCGCTCTATGGGCCCATGTTTGTCCCTTCTGCAGGCGGCCCTTGGAGCTGGACACAGATGGAATATGGTGTGTCCTGCCCAATAGTTTCCCAGAAAACTTTGTTGTCAAGACGACCAACGTGAAGAAGCCCAAGGTGACCATCTCCTACCCTGGGGCCATGCTAAACATCATGGTCAAGGTAAGTGGGCCTCCTGGCAGGGGCTTAGTCTGCTCTCATGAGATTGGATGATTTCCTAGCGTGAGCATTATTATGAAGGAGACTTGGAAAGATGATTTCATTGGCTCTGAAACTGCCTTAAACTGGCCTGCTCACTTTCCTCATTTTAGACCACCTGCCTCACCTGCTGAGAGCTGTTCTTTGGCCTGAGGTTCTATAGTCTGAATGCTATGTTCAAAAGTGACTTAACTGGGGCTTTTCTTTTCCTTTCAGTTGAGCATCCAGACTTTTTAGCTTTTAACTTTTTGTTTCGAAGTAATTTTAGACTTACCAGTTGCAAAAACAGGGCAGAGTTTCTATGTTACGTCCTTCAGCCAGCTTCCCCCAATGTTAACGTCTTATACAGCTAAGGCGCAATTGTGAAAACTAAGACATTTACATTGGTGCAATACTATAGCTAACCTCCAGACTTTATTTGGGATTCCCCAGTTTTCCATTGTGGTCCTTTCTCTGTCCCGAGATCCCAACCAAGGTCCCACGCTACGCCTGGTGAGTGGGATATGTGGGTGGTTTGGGTTTGGGACAGCTTTGAGTGACCTGCTCTTCCCCACTGGCTCCAGGAGGGCTTCACCAACCACCAGTACCAGGAGCTTGCAGAGCCCTCCTCGCTCACCTACGTCACCCGTTCTGAGAACAGCATCTTCTTTGAAGTCGATGGACCCTACCTTGCCATGATCCTCCCGGCCTCCAAGGAAGAAGGCAAGAAGCTCAAGAAGAGGTGGGAGTCTTGCAGCCCCCTTGCATTTGCCAGGGACATGGGTTGATGTGGATGGATCAGACCTAACAGTCCAATCAGGAACATGGGCCGGGCACCAGGGCAACAACAGGCCTTGGTTCTTTATTTCCTTTTTGTCTCTGATTGAGTTATCATTGGAGAGATGTAGACACTGATGCCACCAACTTTGTTCCCCACTTGCTGTTTTGCTTCTGAGGTCACAGGCCCTTGAATCATGGTTATGTTTGAGAAGCATAAATTTCAGGGGTGGAAGGGCAGCTGCTGCCTGATGGTGGTAGAAGAGGGGCTCTTCACTGCCCTGCCTGCCCGGTCCCTAGGTATGCTGTTTTCAATGAGGACGGATCCCTGGCAGAGCTCAAGGGCTTCGAGGTCAAGCGGCGTGGGGAGCTTCAGCTAATTAAGATTTTCCAGTCCTCGGTGTTTGAGGCCTTCCTCAAAGGCAGCACACTGGAGGAGGTGTATGGCTCGGTGGCCAAGGTGGCCGACTACTGGCTGGACGTGCTGTACAGCAAGGTGAGGTCCACGTTCCTCCTCACCACCATCCCCAGTAAGGGAGCAGGCTTAGATCACTGGGTCATTGAACTCCGTCTTTATCTCTATAGTGCTGTTTGTCCATGCCTCTCTCTAGGCAGCCAACATGCCAGATTCAGAGCTGTTTGAGCTCATTTCTGAGAACCGCTCCATGTCTCGGAAGCTAGAGGACTACGGGGAGCAGAAGTCCACCTCCATCAGCACGGCCAAACGCCTGGCCGAGTTCTTGGGCGACCAAATGGTCAAGGATGCAGGGCTGAGCTGCCGCTACATCATCTCCCGGAAACCTGAGGGCTCGCCTGTCACGGAGAGGTAAGGGCTCCAGACCCCCAGGCTCCCTGAAGACCTGGATGCTAAACCGATGGCTTACCTCCATGGAGACCTACTTCCCTTTTCAGGAGTAGATTGCTGGGCCTTTCTTCCTAGTCTGTCTTAGTCTAGAAGCGCTGCTAAAACCTTTTCAGAATTATAGCAGGATATACACCTCTACTGACAGACAGATGGTAGCTGTGCATGAGGTGCATTGGCTGGGAATCAAACACAGGTCTCCTGAATGGAAGGCGAGAATTCCACTGATAAACTCCCCCTGCCTCAGGCAAACAGCTCTGCTAATAGTGGTTAAACACTGAAACCAGGCCTAGTGGCCAACAGTGGAGGGATTGTGCATGAAACCCTGGAACGTTAATACAATGAAGTGTTGTTTAGTTGTTAAATATGGCAAATATTAGATACAAGGTGTAGTTTCTAGGAAATGGGAAAGCTGAGTAAAAGCGTAGGTCACAAACTAGGCTGTGTGTCTTGCTTATTTCACCGTGAAGTGGGTGCCCCCTGATGGCTTATCACTGACCTAGGGTGTTCAGACGGCCCATGAGTGTGTCTGTCTCCTCACCAGGGCCATCCCCCTGGCCATCTTCCACGCAGAACCCACAGTGAGGAAGCACTTTCTCCGGAAATGGCTCAAGAGCTCTTCCTTGCAGGAGTTTGATATTCGGACGGTGAGGGCCAATTTTTTTGTCTACTCTTGGAAGTTTAGGAGGGTGGCAGACAGAGAGCACACCTGACTTGGGTCATCTCTTCTGTCTGGAGTCTTGACTCTTGACTTTCTTCCTTTCTGGTACTTGATGAGTGACTGAGGAAGTGGTAACACTTTAGGAAAATTTAAAGCGTTGAACGCAGGGGAGGCCCTTGAACTGTTCTCTTGGACAGAGTATGGCTCAGGGTTCGAGTGCTGGCTCTGACACTTGCTCTGTGATCCTGGGCGAGTCATTAAGCTCTGTGCCTCAGTTTCCTTCTCTGTGAAATTGGCACCTGTCATCACAGAATGTCTAAGAGGAGTAAAGCTAACAGATGGTTGCTGCTATTGCTGGTTTTCTTCTATGCACCCTGCCGTTGCCCGCTCCTGCATGCTTAGGTTCTGGATTGGGACTACTACATTGAGCGACTGGGAAGCGCCATACAGAAGATCATCACAATTCCTGCAGCTCTGCAGCAGGTGAGGCCAAGAGCCAGTAAACACACAGATGTCTAGGCCTTGGCTGGACATGGTCAGACCACATCTACTGACCTATGCCGTCTGCGTGCAGGTGAAGAACCCAGTGCCGCGAGTCAGACACCCCGACTGGCTGCACAAGAAGCTGCTGGAGAAGAACGACGTCTACAAGCAGAAGAAGATCAGCGAGTTGTTTGTCCTTGAGGGCAAGAGACAGGTAATGGGCCGGCCAGGACAGCAGGCTGTGGGTTCGAGTGCTAGCCAGGCTCTTGTGGGCCCAGGGCTGCACCAGCTTACCTGAACTTCCGTGTCTGTTTGTGGTAAAAATGTTCAAAGCTTTGAGCAACCGAAATTATTTAGAGGCCCTAGGCATCGTAGTTAGACAAGAAAAAATAAGTTAAAAGTTTAACGATTGAAAGAAGGTGTATTATTTGTGCACAGTGTGATAATTAACACTGAAAATGTAAGGAAACTAAAAATAGTTTGAACTAATAAGACATCAGCAAGACAAGGCCAATATATTAAAAACTTGTAGTTTTCTTATGCATTAGAGACAATTAGAAAATATTTTTTGAAAAATACTATTTACAATAGGAGCAAATAATATACCAAAAAATAAACCTATGGTAACAAAACGTGTGCAACTTTCATGGAAAAATTATACAACCTTATTGAAGCATATAAAATAGAGTCCCTGGGTGGCACAGATGGTCAAGTGCTCAACTTTTTAAGTATACAGAAAGTCACCTAAATAAGTCGAGAGAGATACCATCTTTGTGAATGGGGGACTCAATACTGAATATGGCAGTTTGCCCCAAATTAATCCATAAAATTTAATGTAACTACAGTAAAAACATTCCTAAAATGTTCTCTGAATGAAATTTGACAGACTAATCCTAAAGTTCATATTAAGAGTAAGGTTAAGAGTAACCAAAACAAATTCCAAGTTTGAGGAGGGAGAAGTATCTCACCAGATGACAAGGCTCACTTTAAGTCCTTGTAAGGTAAGACAGTAGCCCTGTAGAATAGAGAGTGCCCAGCACAGGTGTGAGCGAGAGCTTGGCACATCACACATCACCAGGGAGACAGTGGGCCGCTTACTCAATGAAAGTGTGTTGCTACTTACGGCGTATATTTATGGATAAGTAGTTGTTAGTTGCCATGGAGTCAAATCTGGCTCATTGTGATCCCGTGTGTGCAGAGTAGAACTGTGCTCCATAGGGTTTTCAAGGCCTTTCGGAAGCAGATTGCCAGGCCCGTCTTCTGAGGCAACTCTGGGTTGGTTCAGACCTCAGCCTTTTGGCTAGTAGTTGAGCGCTTAGCCATTTGTGCCATTCCGGGGCTCCTGGGCAAGTAGTGAAAGTGAAAAATGTGGGGGGGATGATAGGCGCAGCTCTCGAGGTAGTGGTTACCTTTTGGAGGGAAGGAAAGAGAAGGGAAGGGATGAAAAGAAGAGGTTTAGGCATTTCTTGCAATGTCTTATTATAGAAAGAAGCTTCTGAAAAAATATAAAATGTAAACAGTTACTTCGTGTTGGTGGCAGGTATTTGAGTGGGTGACATTGCCTATACTTCTCTGCCTTTGCACAATTAAAAATTACAAGTAAGAGTCTATAAATGCACGTTTGTGTATAAATATTTTATCCCATGTCAGGCTGTGTGCTTATGATAGAGTTCTAGAGGTAGGCTTTGTTGGGACGAGAGTTGGTGGTGTTTACAAGACTTGGTTGGTTTTTCCTAGGTCGTGATGAACCAGGCTCCAGAGGACAGTCAGAGCCCTGGCCCTTCTGACATGGAGGACTTCGGCCTTACGAAGCCTCCACGTACGGCAGTTCCTGTTGTCACTAAAAGGAAGCGGGTCCTTTGGGAGAGCCAGGAGGAGTCCCAGGAGCTGGAGCTGACGGTGCCCTGGCAGGAGATCTTGGGGCACCCCCCCGCACTTGGTACCACCCAGGTAGGGAAGCTCGGAGGTGTGGCCTACCCAGAAGCCTCTGAGTATCCAGGCTTTGCAGTGCAGGGAACAGAGCGGGCCTCAGAGCTGGTTTGGAAAGCCGAGTGCCGGGTTGGGGTGGTCGTTTTCCCTCTCACAGTGTGTGAGCTCCCGTGTCTGTCTCTCCTGACTGGCCCTTGCTCCTTCCAGGAAGAGTGGCTGGTGTGGCTCCGCTTCCACAAGAAGAAGTGGCAGCTGCAGGCCAGGCAGCGCCTTGCGCGCAGGAAGAGGCAGCGCCTCGAGGGCACTCAGAGCGCACCGAGGGCCGGGGCACTCCGCGAGGGGCCTGCCACGGGGCTGGGGAGCTTCCTGCGGAGGGCTGCCCGCAGCATCCTGGACCTCCCGTGGCAGATAGTGCAGGTGTGGACAGTTGTGGGAGGTGATGCCCCGCCCAGCTCACAATGCCGGGAGCCGGGATGCTGAGCCATCCTGCTTTGCGGGTGGAGAAAGGGCAAGCCTGTGGGGTCCTGGCTCCGAAGTGGGCTGTGTGCTGGGGCCGTGGGAGTGACCCTGTTCACAGCACCCAGCGCATCTGTGACGAGTTACGGCCCTCTGTGCTCTGTGCTTAGATCAGTGAGACCAGCCAGCCTGGCCTTTTCAGGCTGTGGGCTGTCATTGGCAGTGACCTGTACTGCATCAGGCTGAGCATCCCACGCGTGTTCTACGTGAACCAGCGGGTGGCAAAAGCAGAGGAGGGGCCCTCATATCGCAAGGTACACACAAGGCAGCCTGGTATGGTGGGGTCCTGTGGCTTCTCCACAGGGTTGGGGCTGGGTAAGGGGCTGGTGGGAGCACTGAGGGCATGCTGCAGCATGGTGGGGGAGACAGGTGGAGTGAGCATGTGCCCTGAGCGAGTTGTCTGAGCCTCCGTCACAGGTGTCTCACTGGGACGGTGTGAGAGTCAGTGGACATGGTGTCTGTGAGGCAGTGGGCACGGAGCCTGCCCTGCTGCAGCCCCAGACACAGAGGATCTGGAGGGTTTTCTGCAGATCTGCTTTGGAAACTGGGCATTTAGCTTCTTCTTGGGGAGGGGGTGTGGGGCTCCTTTGTACTGAGCCGCCTGTTTCCCACTGTGGGAGCTCATCTACACATGTCTGAAAGTGTATGACCCTTCCTGTTTTCTGGGAATTTTCATTTCCTGCCCCAGCCACTTTTTTTTCTTTTTTTCTGTTTTTAATGATTTCTTGCCTTATTTCAGTGGGATTTCTGAAGAGAAGGGTAAACGTTTGGGTCCCAACTGTAGTTTTGAAGCCATGAGGGTTTGTGGGAAACTGAGCCACACTAGGGATCCTCACGCTCATGTCCCCAGGTGAACCGCGTGCTCCCTCGCGCCAATGTGGTCCACAATCTCTATGAGTACTCGGTGCCCGAGGACATGTACCAGGAGCACATCAACGAAATCAACACAGAGCTGTCAGCGCCGGACATCGAGGGCGTCTACGAGACTCAGGTAGCATCACTGGCCTGCTGGTGGGGGCTCCAGGGGGGCTGCAGCATGAAGGAGGCACATGGGATGGGTGGGATGGTGGAGGTCATGAACCACCCCCACAGGCAGAGTGGATTTCCGCTGTGTATCTGCCCGAGACCGGAGAAGTAGCACATTGTAAGGATTGGCCCCATGGCCGGACAAGCCATGTCCATGGCCCGAGTCCTCCCGAATCAGCCCTTGCCTGTCTGTCTGTCTTTACCTCCCAAGGTGCCGCTGCTGTTCCGGGCCCTTGTGCAGCTCGGCTGTGTATGTGTGGTCAACAAGCAGCTTGTGAGGCACCTCTCTGGCTGGGAAGCAGAAACCTTTGCCCTCGAGCACTTGGAGATGCGTTCTCTGGCCCAGTTCAGCTACCTGGAACCAGGTAGGGTCCATGCTGGCTGCCCTATTGCCCAGCACTGCCTCCTGCAGACCCGAGGTCACAGCGTGTTCCTCCACAGGGAGCATCCGCCACCTCTACCTGTATCACCACGCTCAGGGCCACAAGGCACTCTTCGGGGTTTTCATCCCCACACAGCGCAGGGCATCTGTGTTTGTGCTGGACAAGGTGAGTCCGGGGCCTGTGGGGCGGGGAGGGGCGTATCCTTGGGCAAGCCCAGGTGCAAACACGGCGTTGAGTCAGAACCGGAATCTCGGGCGGCCGCCTCTGCTCTGCTCCACACGGGGGCTTACCAGCGCCGTGGGTCTAGGTGCGCAGCAACCAGATGCCGAGCCTCAGTGCCGTGTACTCCTCGGAGCACAGCCTCCTGCTGGAGCAGGTGGGCCCTGAGTTCCTGCCTCCTCCCAAGCACACCTTTGAGGTTCGAGCAGAGACCGACTTGAAGACCATCTGCAGAGCCATCCAGCGCCTCCTGCTCGCCTACAAGGTGAGGTGCTGGCGTCGCTGTGGGCCCACTCTCCCTGGGCCGTTTGTTCATCTGCTGTCTCCTCTGCTCTGAGTGGCGTGTCCTCCCTGGGCCACATGTTGATCTGCTGTCTCCTCTGCTCTGAGTGGCATGTCCTCCCTGGGCCGTGTGTCGAC